TAGTCGACCGGAACTCGAACGATGCAAACCCTTAATGTCGGGCGGGCTTCGCCCGACTCCCGTTCGTTTACTGAGCGGTGTTAAATTAATACCTCGCGCGCCCCGTCCAATATTGTGACAGAGTAGATTTCAAGCGTAAAATACGCTCGACTGTATGTATTACAGGACCTGTACATAAAGACCACCTGCCTATAATGAACAATGTCTATGTTTCCCTTAGAGGGACTTGGTAACATTGTTCAGATGAGTGAAAATGTGCTCAGGTATTGACTTCATCGCTAATTGTACAATTAAAGATAAACTGAAAGTTTGAGTGAAACAAAACAAGCCATTGTTGATGATAAACATTGGGATAAACTGATCTGATCGATTCCTTAATTCTCCCAACTTTATTATTGCTGTTTGATTACATTTTAGGTGAATGTAAATCGTCACAAAGCAATAAATTGGCTCTATATTCCATTCCAGACATTTCAGTGTCGAAAGATTTATGTCTTTTTTTCATGGATAAACGGTTGGAAAACCAAAAATGGTTGAGAGAATATATACTGTAAGAGGGTGTCGCACAGTGACGCCTTAAAAAAAAAAACATAAATATCTTTGTGGTTTGAGAATTTTTAAGGATTACTTGCATGTTGGAGAGGATTTGTACAATAGAAGGAATATAATAAGTAAAATTTCATTATGCTGGTTTTTGTTTAAGCATTCAGGGAATTTCTTCCTACCTGGGAGGAGAGTAAAATATGTAGATTATTAATTCCCAAATGAGCTTACTACCGTGCCGGGACTTTGACCGCGAACCATGTAATCCATAGTCTGGAGAAGTATCCATGAGCCCGCAACACCCTGAGCAATGTGTCTAGAATTGGCTGAGGACATGCATTCAATATTATACGCAAAGCAAGTAGTGGTCAAGATCGTCAAATTACTAAACTGATATATGGTAGTGGTAGCAGATAAACAGACACAAATAATGTTGAGTAACCAAACAATCAAAGAAAATAGGGGGAAATATTTTGAAAATAGGCAACGATAAAAGCCTTAAAACCTGAATTAACATAATTACGTTTGAGTTGAAAGGGTAAACACACAGAAATATATATATTACAAATTGGAATCGACTTAAAAAGCAATTATACAATGCCATTATTAAAATATAACGTATACCAAATTGTGAATGTGTCAATTAAACAGATTCTGAGGAATAAGGAAAGAGGGAGATGGAGAGAGAGAACGGTGATAGAGATAGATAGAGAGAGAGATATATATGGAGAGAGAATCAAGGCTTATTAATTGTACGAACAAGAGAAGGAACAGCAGAATTTTGATATCGGCTAGTCCTGCACCTAGGAATGACCAAACCATGATTATTACGAAGGGGGCGAAAATTGGGCGAGGAATCTTTAGATGGTGGAAGTAAGTCTCTGTGTCGGGACGTCAGTAGCAAGTGGGCAAACTTAGAATCAAAGGGAGGGCAGATTTAGACTCCCTAGCCTTTCATAATAGGTGAAACCGAGAGTGATCTTGGTCACACGCCTCGGAACTCTCACAACTTTCTCGGACTGTTGACAAGTGATTGAAAAAGACCAGACAGGTGATGCATACTCTAGAATGGGAGGGATATGGGATGTGTAAATGGTAACTAGATCACTACAGGATGCATTGTATTTCTTTAAGATGCACAACATAAACAATCGTATCGAAGCTTTTTGAACGACGTGATCAATTTGTTGACCCCACTTAATATTACACTGTTGGTCATAATGGTGGAATATTTATTTTCCCCCCAGTTTAGGGAAGGATTTAAAAAAAAAAATTATTTCTAATAGATCTAGATAATGGCATACATTCTCAGATTTTATTGAATATTGATTTGTGAGTGTTTGTTTTGCGTGACTGCTTAATCATATGTGTGCTACTATGCTAATCAGATAAGGGACCTACGTCCTTAAGTCATAATTGACAGTAATGAGGATTAATGCCTCACAAAAGGGCACTAATATATAGCTGATCGACACGATTTTTACCCTGGGGCCTCACAGTAACGAGGCCATTGCTTAGCCCCTGAATCATGACTGTACGCAGTGTTTGCTAGGGTACGCGGCCCCTTCCACAAATCCCCCAAAACGAAGAAAATGCAATAAATTGTCAAAAATTCATTGCATTTTCCCCCGGCCCCAAACAGGAAAAATTCCTCCGTGTGGTCATGCCTTGAACCATAATGCATGGCCCTACAGAGGAATTTTTCCTGTTGGGGGCCGGGGGAAAATGCAATGAATTTTTGACAATTTATTGCATTTTCTTCGTTTTGGGGGATTTGTGGAAGGGGCCGCGTACCCTAGCAAACACTGCGTACAGTCATGATTCAGGGGCTAAGCAATGGCCTCGTTACTGTGAGGCCCCAGGATAAAAATCGCGTCAATCAGCTATATTAGTGCCCTTTTGTGAGGCATTAATCCTCATTACTGTCAATTATGATTTAAGGACGTAGGTTCCCTAGCTGATTAGTATAGTAGCACACATATGATTTAGCAGTCACGCAAAATAAACACTCGCAAATTAATATTCAGTAAAATCTGAGAATGTATGCCATTATCTAGATCTATTAGAAATTTAAAAAAAAATTAAATCCTTCCCTAAACTGGGGTAAAAATAAATATTCCACCATTATGACCAACAGTGTAGATTGCAAAGTAACTCCTAACAGTGACAGGTGTGTGACTTCCTAAAGAACAGAATCGCCGATCTTGATTTCAGGGAAAGGTGGAGGGTTTCGCTTGAAGCATATGTTAATTATCTTACATTTTGACGGTTTAGGCGTCAAGTGATTTGAGCTAGACCATTGGGTTAGCTGAGAGACCTGATCTAGCAATTGAGATTGCTGATTAGGTTTTCTCAATTCTGCTAGGGTAAGGTCGTCAACATATTTCCATCTATTTAGGGTGAAATCTGCAGCATCATTGATCATGATCACAAATAGGATTGGGCCAAGCTTGGTGCCCTGTGGGTCACCAGGAGCACAGGAGCACACGTCTTTTAGAGAGAGTTTAAAGTCTACACCAATTGAAAGCTAATTCAGCTTCATCATAATTCATGTCTGACTTCTTCGCTTGTTTCTCTACTCGGTTCTAAGGCCTTATTACTTTATAATGATTATGAATTTCTTCTCACTTACTTCACCCGCAACGAAGCGACATTACTTTGTAAATAGTCTTACATATTCTTTCTACGGGTACTGTGCAATATTTGTACCACTACCTGTTATTCACGTTTTGAGATGATTTGTTCCAACTGTCGGTTGCAACAGATGTATCTACAAGACAAGGTAGGAAAGGAATCATTTTCTATTTCTTTTATTTTAGGTGAACAACTGCCTAAAGATTTGTTTAACTGATATTTTTATGGGATTCACGTGTCCTAGGGTTTTTGTTCATTCGATTGGGATGAGTAGTACTTTTGTTCGGTTGTGGAAGACATTGATCTACATTTGCCACTCTCCACCCAGGTGTTAAATGGATACCCGGTAGGATGCGAAAGCTAATGTGGTTAGATTAGCAAGTGTGCGTTCGTAAAAAAGACACCTGGCTGGAATGCTCCCCAGGGAGTGGAGAATGTGCATACATTGTGTGCGGGTAAGCCTGAATCCTATGACCGGGGTAATAATATATATATATCTGTAAAGCGCTTTAAGAGGGCCTTCGGTCTTGAAAAGCGCTATATAAGAACTAGCTATTATTATTATTATTACCTTCTGGTAATCACCATAAACCAAAACAATTTCAATACTAAATGGAAGTGGGTCAGAAAGAGATAAGATGGTTTTCTTTCACTGAGACCAATCATTTGGTCACATTATATATTTGGCGCCAAATAATAAAATGAGCGTGGTTTCCGACAATCAGAGAAACAATTTCAATATTTTTCACAAATGAAACTCCGAAGAAGAGTATTGTGAATTCACAAATGTTTATTCCAGATAGACTTTGTCTTTTTTTTTATTATGTTAAAATGTAAATTGATGTAAATATATATGAAATGTGAAATATGTGAAATAAAACACCTCGGTAAGAGGACAAGAAGAAAAAAATCCAAATAGACTGGGGTTGGAAATCTAACAAAAAACCGAGTAAATTTGGTGTTTCAAAGTATCAACCACCGGAGCTCGGAGGAGGCACGTCCGTTCGGTAGACCAGAGTGTACTGTCAATGCCGAGTGCCCCGATTTATATACCGATGGCCTCAAATCGAAGCAGAAGCCCAAGCATGAACCTATTACATTCGCCCGCTCGCAGCATCACTATAGAGAGGTTTTAATAAGCGCATGGGTCTCGTATAACTATCGCTTTGATCGCAGAATCAGTGCATCTCGTCGGCCTCGAAAAAAGGTGAGAAAGTGGCAGCGTCGTACTTTCATCGTATCGCCATCGCCTTCGGGGAAGTGGATCTCAACTGAGCTGTAGTATATTCGCCTCACAGGCAAAAAGTGGGGTTGGATGGAAAGTCTGCCACGCTTAACGAAGTTTTCACATATTGCCACGGTCATTATGATAGCTTTTCTCCCTTTCTAGTGAGATGGGGGAATAAAGAGCCATGTTACAAAGATTCCGATGGTTGCAATAACGTTACCAATTTTATTTGTCTTCTTTTGGGGGCATTTTTTCTTAAATACTTGCTTTACTCTTTGAATTTTCTCGTTTACTTGTTGTTTTTCGAACTCATCTGTGAAAAATGAAGGGAACCCCGTCTAATAAACATCTGTCATCGATTCAAATTGATCGTATCCTCATACTTATCGCAACTCTGAACAAATTAGATGCGATTTTGATTTAAGGACTTGCGATCAGTCCTGATCAAGCGCAAACATTTATGCTGAACCGCAGTTTTACAGAGGTTTGAATAAATCAATCTATCAATCAAAAAGGCAAACTGCACATACTGTACATGCTGTATAATAAACTTTTTCCATGTTTTGTTTTGATTTTTTTTCTTTCTCATGTACAGCGGAGGCGATGGTATTTGTGGCTGACTATTCAGGACATGCAATATCCATGGCCGACTTTTCCAGCGACAGTCTCGACTCTATAACCTTCGATGCTCTGCCCTTCAGTTCCGTCCGTTACCCGATGGGCATCGATTACGATCCCGATACTCGCATGGTGTACTGGACCGAATATTCAGGATCAGGATCCATACGACGCGCGAATATCAATGGCAGTATGCAAAGCGTGATCGTCGATAGTACTAATGCCAGATGTGAGTATTCCTGAATTAAGATTTGTCTTTCTTCTTTAAAGATTTCAGATAAATTGCAGTTCAGTTTTTTAATTTTTTTTTTTTTTTTTTTTAAGGTTGTAAAATAATATGACTTTAATACAATTCGCCATTTTGTTTGTTTCTTTGTTTTTATTTTTATTTTCTTTTATTTTATTTTATCTTTGTTTAGTTTTATGTTTGCTTGCTCATTTCATTTTGTTACTTCTTTTTCTCTCCGCGTTGACTTTTACTTCTCCTTTTTCTTGCCTTTCACTTTTCTTCACCTTCTACTTCTTTTTTTCTTTTTTTTGCTTCTTGTTTTTATTTTGTTTCTAATGTGCTTGCTTTTTATGATCTTTTATAACGTTTATTTTTCTCTGTATTCTTTTCCGTCTTTATCTCTTCGATTTGGTCCTTCCTCTCTTTATCTATATCTATATCATAACCATCTTCCTCTTCTACATCTTACTTGTTTCTTCTCCTACTTTTTTCCATTGTCATCCCTCGAGGTCACATAGTCAGTGTTTTCTTTCACAGACTCAATGGACCTAGCGTTGGATACGAGTCGTGGTAAAGTCTTTTGGACCGATAATAACCAAAACCGAATCATGTCGGCTAATCTCAACGGATCTTCCCAGCAAATTATCATCAATACCGACCTGTTTTATCCATGCGGGATCATTGTACACAAAGAAAAAGGGTAACTACATGTAATACACCAGTTAACGGTTACAACAGTGCGCATACGCTGACATGGGCGAATTATTCACGACGAAATTGGCGATGAAATTCACGAAATCGTCAATTTCGTCGTGAATAATTGGCGATAAAATTCAAGACGTCGTCAATAATTGGCGGTGAAATTCACGACGAGATTCACGCCTGGCTGGTTTCGTCGCCAATTACGTCGTCATTTTTTTGTCCTTGCTTACGCGGCCTTCCTAGTCTAGCGGTAAACAATCCAGCCGCTTGAAGACGATTATGACGGGACTTTTTTACCAAGATTTCTGTGAAAATGGTAGGTTTTAACCTCATATTGTGCTCTATTATTATTATTATTTGTATTTTATCTTTGACAAGATAAGGACAAGGAAAATTGTACAGCGAAAAAATTACCCGGTATGCATTTAATGGTCTATATGCACTTAATACATTTTCCCATACACTCATTTCCATGTTGTAATATCTATTGAGTGTTGTAATTGATCCAGGGCCTACTAATATTAATAATAATAGCACACTCAAACTGAGTGAACAAAGACTGAAAGAGTCGATGTAAAACTAATACTAACCAGGAATGTAATACTTGTTTGGAACAAGTATAGGTGGGCTCATGCGCGTACGCAGGATTTTTTCGAAGGGGGTTTTAAAATTTTAAAAACGCGCCAAAAATTTCGCAACGTCTCAGTCGCTGAATAAGCGGGTGAAGGAGGGGGATAAGAGGACATTTTTATTATTATTATTATTTATTTTTTTTATTTATTTATTTATTTATTTTTTTTTTTTTTGGGAGGGGGGGGGGGGTTCCAAACATTTCGCAACGACTCAGCCACCAGCTGAATAAGCGGGGGGGGGGGGGGGTGGTAAGAGCACCTTTTTTTTTTTGGTCCCGAATTTGAAAATAGAGATTTGAAAATAGTGCTATTCCTTCCACCTCGTTCCATAATTTCAACTAGAGCCTCTCAGTGCATGGTATATTTGTTTACTATTAAACTGCAAATCACATTGAGCCAGCAATAATCTTGCATGACCTTGGGAAGATTGATAAGCGACATTTTCGAACTGCCGACAATCAGAGTTAAGTAAATCTTCATCGCATCGCCAGTATGTGTTGGCGTTAGGTTGAGCTTCCTACTTTATTGCCTGTGGACTGTATTATGCGGGGCATTAGGAGTATGACCGACGGGCACACAACGATTATTGTATTGACTGTCAGAGCTCTGCTACAATTACATGCAGGACCATTGTATAATACTACTCGTAGTAGGTCCATGGGATTTTGAACTGGGCCGCTCAGAGCGCGTCACGTGGCGATTATAACTGAATGGACCATGCAAATAGATCTAGGACTAATTGCTGGACGTGATCGGATCTGATTGTGGAGTGAAAACAAGATTAGACTCTAATAATACTAGTACTGTATACTAGTCTTAACCCTAAAAAGGCCGGCCTATTTAAGGTCTTAATACGGCCGGAGGGGGGGGGGCATCATGGCCCCCTTAAGATCTCGGCCGTGAAACAGCCGATCTCCGCGAAAATGTGCTACCATGTCAAGTGAAGTGTATAGAATACTATGATATTTTTAATTTTATAAGAAATTTACTCCTTTGTATTTTTATGGTAATTTATGCAAATAAGGTGATACAAATCACATTTTTACCCCTAAATCATATATTATTCATATTTAAGCATTCTTTTTCACTACATATATTCATTAGACCATTTGAAAAAGTAATAGGACAATAAAATTGAAAGAGCCAGCTTATTCCTGATGTTATCTCTTGTTTTGAAGATTTCTTATGTATTTTTCACTTATGTATATTATTCTTTTTGTTGTTTTATTTCATTTCTAACGACAACTTAACTATTTTGACTCCTAAACACAACCACCTAAACTTTCAACAAGACCCAATAACCAATGTTTGATGTATTTTTAGGAAAAATGACATTTCCATATGTTTTGTACACAAATCACGAAAATGTGCGATTTTCGAGCTGACATGCAAAGACAAAAGGTCACGTGACCTTGTAACTGTAGGTCCAATTTTCAAAAGAAATCTTTTAAAAGATGCGCAAGGCTCGAAAGAAGAAAGTCAGCGAGCGGCGCACAGTGGGCCAGGGAGGAACCAAAGTGCGCCAAAACTCATTTTTGGTGATTTTTTTCTCCAACTTTTGTCTTGCCCAGTTGAAAGGTAACACATTGAGGAATACCTCAGTAAAATATTTAATTCCGGTATGCACAATAAGGATATAAATTTACTCCTTCAAACAGCAAAATCCTACATATTCACAGTTTTAGTGCAAAAGTGACTTATTTTATAAATCTTTCAATTTAACATGTAGTTTTTAAGTTATTGATATAAAATTGCTCTCACATATACCTGATAGTTCATTTCGTTGCATGAATGGGTTAAAATTGATAGAAACACAATCTTCATGATATACTATAGGGTAATTCACTGAAAAATGGACTAATTATCCATGTTTTTTTATAAATGCAAAGAATATGTGTAGATCTCCTCAGAACTCCGCTTCAAATTTAATACCACCATTTTTTCTTCCCGATCTTGCCCGTTGTTATGTTAGAGCCGATTTCCATTGCCACATTGCCCCGAAAAATGTGGGGGGGGGGGTTTAGGTCCGCGGCTGAATCATGAAGGATTCGCGGTCATAAATCACGGTGGGGGCGCGTGACACACGTTCTGACATCGCGGACCAAAATAAACACATTTTTTTTCGGTGAAATGTTGCAAGGAAAACGGCTCTAACATAATAACGGGCAGAATCGGGCAGCCAAATCTGGTATCAACTTAAAGCTTAGACATCAGAGAAAATGTTGGAAATAAAATTTAAGCGGAAATCCCTGGAAATCCAAACATTTCCTCTGGATTTATAAAAGATAAATCCCCCAAAAAATTAGTTTTGGCGCACTTTGGTTCCTCCCTGGCCCACTGTGCGGCGGGGCGCCATCCATATGCGTTCCCGAACGATCAGAAAACATATTGCTCCGGTTTTTTTCATTTTCGCCAGCACAAACGTAGCTAGTTCGCGTACATAGCAGACGGCAATCGGCCGATCAGACTAAACTTGATAGTGATTTTGTATGTGAGATTGCTGTGCTAAATATAAAATACAAGAATCTTTTCCATATCTTTAAACTATCATTGATATCTGATAATTAAATAGTTAGTAAAATAAACCTACAAAACTACATAATACGATGAAATACTTGACTGAAAGTAGGGGAGTTTGATGTGGCGCACAATTGCACCCCTCTGTTAATAATCGAATAGTCCAAGGTGTTCACTAATATTCATGTTTTTGCTTACCTCGGCAAATTGCTTGCCTATACTTAATGGGAAAATATCGGTGGGGGGTTGGATGAAATGGACATAATGAACAAATCAGAACTGATCTATGATAATTCATGCTTCTTATCCTTCGTGTGCTTGACTTAAAACCTTACAATCTCGTGGTAAGGGTTGTTTTACAATCAGGGTACACAATAGAAAAATTCACTTTGATGGCTGTTAAAAAGAAAAAAATAACAGTCAAGGAAAATCTTCCTTGGTCAACTATTTTGCACGGTTAGATCAACCTACAACAGCGAAGAAATTGTTTGAAACGAGCAACTACTTTTCAAAATATGTAATTTTATGCCATTTTTTTTCACATTTTCACTGTCTCATTTCATTTTTTGCAATGTTTGAACGTTTGCATGTCTGACATACGTACCCCCAAAACATTATCAGCTATCAGAATTAACTCTTCCAACAGTTCTCTGTAAGATCTGAATTGGGTGCAATATTTTGGCAAATCTACAAATTTTGACTTCGCACCAAAAATGAGGTGCAAAATGTGTCAAAAAATGTCCTCTCCGAAACCAGCGTTATAATATAAAGTAAGACCGCACTCAATGACTTATTTGTTCCTCCTTCAAAAGAGTCACTAATATCCTACAAAATTATAATATTAACTTTCCCCACACTTACTCACTTTTTGGTAAATGCGCATTTCAAATTTGTTTGTCAGGGGTGTGTCAAAAAGTGTCCTCTCCGAAAAAGTGACATTTTTTATCAGCACTCCTTCAAGAAGAGCCACATTTTGAAACCACCTTATGTTATTAGTAGACCTAACATTGATTTATCATGTGCAATAGATAATGTTTATTTTGTTTAATATTCACACTGATTTTGAAGGTGTCAAAAAAAATGTCCTCTCCAGCTCATAATCAGTAGATGGATAAATGACTGTAATAACAGTCTACAAAGTGCATGGATTTACAAAAACTAGCCTGATTTTAATTCATCGTGAGGTGGGTATTACAATCTAACATCTTCCGGTTATTTAATGGGAGGTTTTGTTAATTCTATCCATTCACAAGCTACTTTCACCCCCTATTATTCCATGATGTAATGTATGTCTGGAAGAATTAAGACTTTCCATCCATTTAATTGCATTTATTATGTGTTTATACCTTTCCATGTTATCAGTACTGTTAATCAACTATACAATGATGAATTGATACTATGATTACCATCGATATACATAGTCTCTTTGGTTTCGGAGAGGACAGTAGTTTTGTTGACATATTTACATACTTCCATCGAAAGTCTTCATATTCAGGTTAATCACATAGAACAAGTGGGTAACTTTTTGCTGTTATACTATTGGGTGTAGGGATGCTTTGTCCTAGTCCATACACATTTCTAGTGGAAGAGATGTTGTGGTGAAAGAGATTGATACATCAAGTGAAGATGCAGTGAAATCTGGTCCACTTTACATCATCAAGTTCATGAATCATATACCGTAATTTAATATATAGCGCATTATCACAATATGTCTCTATGCGCTGTAAGAAAGAGTAAGAAGGAAAGGTGGATAGAGTAACGTAAGAAGAGTGAGATATGCTCAACATACTACCTCTCGTTAACATTGGAAAGTATTTTGAAATTTTTTCTTTAAGACGTGCCTTCAAGT